CGGATGACCCTCAGAGACAAATAAATTATATCTAAACTACCATTCATACACCTCCCACATAATTTTTTTGTTATGACTGTCTGCGTGCAAACTTAAAAAATGAAAAATAGCGGGTAAAATCAAGAGCCTAACAATTCTGAAGGCGATCATTCTTTCATTAAATTCAATTTTAAATACTTGTAACACATTCACACGGTCAGTCGCAACACAAAATATCTCTTCCCTCCCTTCCCCTCCTCTTCCAATGACGCAGTAACTGAGCATCCGTTTTTTTTCTGCGAACCAGCAAAAAACGTCACAACAGTGTAAACCCGCGCAAAAGCGCGGGGAAAAAATTGGAGTAATTTCACCTAAAAATAGCAATTTTTTAACTTGGAAAATATGGACTTCGAAGTTTTGTTTCTAAAACTGGATTCCAGACTTTTTCCAGACTTTTAAAAAATCCAGCCCAAAAACTAGCGATTTTCCAGACTTTTTTAAGTCTTAAATTCACTTTTCTAAATTCAAGACTTTTTCCAGACTTTCCAGACATCGTACGAACCCTGTATAAGGGACAGGTGGGCTAAAGCAGGTATAAGGGACAGGTGGGCTAAAGCAGGTATAAGGGACAGGTGGGATAAAGCAGGTATCAGGGACAGGTGGGATAAAGCAGGTATCAGGGACAGGTGGGCTAAAGCAGGTATCAGGGACAGGTGGGCTAAAGCAGGTATCATGGACAGGTGGGCTAAAGCAGGTATCAGGGACAGGTATCAGGCTATAAAAGTAAATTAATTGTTATAGAAATTGACCTATTGACACGATTAACTTCTCAAATTGCCCAGACGCTAATTCACAAAACAGACTCTCCGAGAATATTTAAATTCACAATTATAATTAAACGCTTTTTAAGTAAAAAACACCCCAGGATTAATCACTTAATTATGTTTTTCAGCAAGCTTAAATCTAATTAACATACAATGATTAGTTTAAATTTGTGGTAAAGTCACCTAGAGCAAAAAAAAAAAAATTTCTGATATAAAAACAGGAAATAAGCCTATTTAATAATGCCTCTGGCTTATTTTTAACTTATTTCCCTGAATGTCAGTTGAAGTTTTACTGCAGATCTTTGATCTGAGTTGAATCATGTCTAGTCTCTTGTCAGGAAATTAGCTCTGGAATCTCTTACGATGTGGAGTTTGAAAAATTATGAACTGGTTGACATGAAACAGTGTATTAAATTTTTCAGGAGGATAGAAGAATTTTAAGAGATTAAAGTCAAATTTCATGCTAGTGTTTCGAAGGTAATTTTTGTTCGCCATTTTTTATTTAATTTTGAATGAAGAGCACATGATGTGATGTAACATTCGATGCCATTGGCTAATTATTCTATAATAGACTAATCTGTGGTTGAATTATCTAGCGTAGTGATCGCAGGAGAAAATTAACCCCATTTCTACTGTGGCTCTAATGACATCATGAGCTGAACTTATATCTAAACACAGATATGACTTCAGATTTCGTTGAGGTTAGAAATTAGGTAGACCGCCAGCTTCATCCCGAAAATCTTTTGTTGTGGAGAAATCCACAACTGGTTAGGGGTCGTCCATAAATGATGTCACACTCGTAGGGGGGAGTCCGTAATTTTGGGACGGTGTGTGATGAGGGGGGGGGGGGGGTGTTCAGATGGTGTGACGTCACATTTTTGCATTATAAGAAAGCAATTAAAGAAAACTAAAAATTATTGTAGCCGTTATTTCGCGTTTCAGAAAACTGTTTTAATAAATTGTTGTACGAATTGATGAAAATACTCTATGTTGACAGAGTTCAGAAAAAGATTTTGGAAAAATATCGTATTTTAAGAACAAAATTTAACTGCAATTTTGATGGGGTTGTAGGCTGACGTGTGACGTCATTTTGTGACGATGTGTGACGGAGGGGAGGGGGGGGATAAAAAATCGTCAAAAAAAGCGTGACGTCATTTATGGATGACCCCTTAAAGGAATGGGGTATGTTTTAATATACTTTTTATATACAGTTGGCGAGGTTTAAAACCAGACCATGGAACGGAAAAATATCAATCTCTATTCCTGTACGCGCTTCAACTAGATTAATAGACATCAGGATATACAATTTCTGTGTTTGATTTAAGGGTCGTCCATAAATGACGTCACACTCGTAGGTGGGGGTCCTTAATTAAGTGACGGTGTGTGATGAGGGGGAGGGAGGGTGGTCAAATGGTGTGACGTCACACTTTTGCATTATAAAAAAAGCATTGCTAGAAAACAAATTTTAGCCGTTATTTTGCGTTTTAGAAAACTGTTTTAATAAATTGTAATAGAAGTTGCTGAAAACACTCTATGTTGACTCGGGGGGGGGGGGGGGGAGAGAGATTTTGGCATATTGTGACGATGTGTGACGAAGGGGAGGGGGGGGGGGAGAGGTAAAAATCGTCCAAAAAGGGTGACGTCATTTATGGATGACCGCTCACTCCTATTACGGATAAAGAAAGAATAATATTTCGCTTGAATTATTTGTTTACATAGTATCTTATCAGAATAGTATGGAAAGGCGTGGCCTAAGCGGTAGAGAGCTAGGCTGCTAACTCAAAAGTAAAGGCGGCTGTACAAAGTACTGACCACACCTTCCCTTCATGTGCCGAGTTCAAGAAAATATATGAACTCTACTTCATCTGCCAAGTAGATCGTTAAGTCTAAAGAGGATTCTATACTTTTATTTTTTTTAAAAGATTTTTCAAATTTGTATTAGACAAGCATTATAAAACTAAGTACTCTTAAATCTAACTTGCTTAATAATGTAAACGGTCGAACAGTAAATAAAGTTTAAAAATATATATATAATTAATTATTTTCTTGATAGTGCCAAATGGCTAAAATTTACCCAATAAATTTAATTTAATAAAAAAATTTCATCAATTAAAACTTTTTTTTAAAAATACTTCGTAATAAAATGTGTTATTTCAACGGTGAAGTTCACCTTCTAGTCAGTAACTCTGTGAAATAATTTTTTAACCCTTGAAGAAACCGTGCGCGAAATTCTTTGGTCTATAAATGGAACAGTAGAAATAAAGTTAAAGAAGGGAAGTAACCCATAAGTTAAATAGACTTCTCGGACTTTTTTGGAGTTATTTTTAGATTTTCCCATTCGCTTAACCCAGGGGTAAAAATTGGAACCCCCCCCCCCCTTGAGACGATCCTGGCTACGCCACTGCTACGGCATAACACACCATAACAACCCACTGGACACAAACAAAGACATGTGGAAACCAATCATTCAAAATATCAACAAAAAAAAATAGAATTCTACAAATATACAGCACGACAACAATTTGTTTCGGCAGGGCCGCAATAGTAAACAGGTATATCATCCCCAATCTCATATACGTAGCCATATCCAAAGTTGTTAAGAAAATTAATAAACTCAAAAGGAAATACATATTTCAAAACACAACACATAACATTAGTCATAACACCTTAGTTCAAAGCAAACTACAAGGGGGGATTAAACCTACACGACATTAAAACATTCGGGACCTGGCGGGACACGGGACAGGTGAAGTAGAGTTCACCCGTTTCTGTCTTTTCGGCATATGAAGGGATAGTGTGTTAGAGCCATGCTCGGCCAGAATAGTTTTTTTTTTTACGATAAAAACATGTTGTCTGAGTCTTGGCAGGACACTGGGCAGGTGAAGTAGAGTTGAGTAGGTCACCTGTGACGTCAGTATATGAAGGGATAGTGTAGTCACCACCATGCTTAGCCGAAATCGGTGTTTTTAAAAGATAAAAAAACTAAAAACGCCTTTTTGCATGTGGGGTCTGGTTATTTTGTGATGATAAGTGACAGACGTGATGTTATTTATGGATGACCCCCGAAACCCACAGTTATCTAACTAGATAACGGGTAGTCTACTCTAGTGTACATATAAAAAAACAAAATGAAAAAAAACTTACTTGAACTTGAATCAATTATAATGGGCCAAATGTACACGTGCAAAACAATGGCGAGATAAATGAAGTTGGAATGACATCATTAACTTGTGTATTGTACTCTCTATTCCTCACTATGCATGTCTATATTTTCTTTTCTTTTTTGGATAATCTCGATACCATTGAGCAACGGATATACAAGGGGAGGTATTCCATTTTCGTATCATACTTTTGGTTTAATAGTATTTAGATCTAAGATCTAGATCTAGCGTGCATCCAAAGTAGTTTAACTTAGTTTAACTTTTTAAAATTTTTATTTAAGCAAGTTCTATTAATTAGAGTATGATGATTAGAGATTACTAGACTCTTGTCTAGTACAGTGTTTCTTCCAGACTTTTTTCTCCGGGGGGGGGGGGGGGGCACTTGAAATTTCATTTCGTTCGGGGGAGGGGGGGGGGGGGTAGAAGAGATGCCTGGAAGAAACTCTGGTCTAGTACTCTAGCCTACATATAGATCTAGATGTAGATTTATACTATTCTAGATCTATACCTATTTATTAGATATAGTCTAGAATCTAGATCTACTGATAAAATATTTAAGATTAAAAACATTTTTTTAGTTCTATTTTCACCTATTCGGAACTGGTGATCCATAGGGCAGATGACGTAGAGTTCACCTCAGAGTTTCTTCCAGGCATTTCGCCCCCCCCCCCCCCCCCCGAATTTTTTTTACCGCCCCCCGAACGGAATGAAATTTATATAATTTTTATAGAAAATATATACTTTTAACAGTGTCCGCCCCCCCCCCGAAGAAAGTTTACCGCCCCCCCCCCCCCGAAAATTTTAAGTGCCCCCCGGAGAAAAAAGTCTGGAAGAAACACTGGTTCACCTGTGTGACCTCAGTGTATGAAGGGATAGTGTGGTCATCACTATGCCCAGCCGCCTTAACATGAGTCATGTACCCATCAGAGCTGGGTGGACTCAGGGACGTTGTACAATCGTAGTACACTCGTGCGCTCTAACACACAACCACGCCTTTCCCCCAAGCCTATGTCATAAATTTTTTTTCTAGATATGTTTTGGCTTAGGTGGTAAAAGAGAAGTAAAGATCCCTGCCAAAACTGATGGTCCATGGGGCAAGTGAAGTAGAGTTCGCCAGTTTCTGTGTCCTCGACATATAATGGGACAGTGTGGTCAGCAGTACGTACAGCCCACTTTACATTACGTAACGTTAGTTCCATCAAAGCTTGGTGGACTAAGGGGCGGTCTACTGACTAGCTTAAACCCGGATTCCAGTTACTAGTCTAACTCTCAGAATTTACATAGAATATATATATATATATATATATATATATATATATATATATATATATATATTCAATTTCATATATATGAAAATTCAAGCAATCTGATGAAAAGAGGAATGAACACACACGGTGGCAGAAGAAACAATCGCAAAACTAGCAAGAGTCGCAGAGGTCGGCGGTCAGGCGTCCATTTCGACAGCTCACGACCGGAAGAGGACAATAATTTGTTGGTGGACTGTGCGGAAAACTTCACAAGTTCAGAATTTGATCAGAACTGCCCGGCTAAAGACGGGGAGGATGCTAGCCAAATGCTATCGCACTACACGCCATTTTCTTCGCCTCTCTGCCGGACGACTGAAAACAACTCGAACACTACGACATCCGACCCGCTAACGCCGCTATGCTTGAACGAGACAGTCTCCAACACTGCAGGCCCACATTTGAAGAATCGTGTTGGTGAGAATGATGGCATGATGGAATTCACAATGGAAGCCCAGCCTCCCCTGGTTTGCCATGGCAACAACCAGGACGAGATGTACAAGTATTTGGACTCCTTATGTCAACGTTCACAGTATCACATCAACGAGAGATTTGAATCGATGAAGAAATCCATAAACGAGCGCCTGGAGGGCCTGCAAGATCTCATTGAAAGGCGCTTTAGCAGGATATTCGACTTGATTAAAAAAAACGGCTTGTCAGCGCCAGCTAATGTCATTCAACTGAACACCACACAAAGTAAAGGCGATTACCAGGTGTTTGGTCATCCTTTAGATGTTTCAAAGTACAGAAAAGCTAAACTTAAGGGGGAAAAGGAATGCCTGAATTCACCCGACATGTCTGGGGCCAGTTGCAGTACGTTCCCAACCATACAGTTCAATGAGGTCCAGTCAGACAGCCGCAGCTACCGTAGGAGGCAAGCGTCTGGGGACACTTGCTGCAACCTGTGCCTGTCTTCAAGTCGCAGACATCGCCATTCGACGCCAGCGAGGCGTGTGACGAAAAACAAAGTTGGAACACTGTTAGCTCGACGTCCACGCCGGAATAACTCCAATAACTCCACGATGGCAGTTAAGAAAAAACGGCCCAAAAACATCAGGGTTCAAGTTAGGTCAAGTGCTCGTCAAACTAAACGCACGGTGTTCAGATCGCCTAAACTGGCTAAACGATCCAAGAAAATCACCTCCGTGTATCGAAGAAACAAGAGCGCGCTAGGAAAACAGTCGCGCTTAGCGGCAAGGAATAAAACGAGTAACAAATATGGGAAAACCCGTTCCACCGGTTCATCAGCCAAGGGTAGCTCCCAGCGAGGCAAGGCTAAACGGAAGACCAATGCGCCCAAACGCAGGATCACAAAGTTTGTGGTTACACCACTTGGTCACAAGGCGACGTACGACAACCTGCTGGCTCAACACGAGCGACTCAAGCGCTTACGTTTTCAACACTCTCACAGTCGGAATGTTGGCGAGTTCGATAAATTAGTCGTCGACGCTTTTAGGAGAGTCATCTCTGAGTTTCTCAGAAACAAGATTCAAAAGTTGGAAACTATTATCCTCAGAGCTCAAATCAGAAGTCGAAAGAAGCACAACAGGAAGTGGCTGTCGCCGGCTAGGCAGCATCGAGGTTGTGGAGACAGACAGACTAGAGTCAATATTACCAAATCTAACGCTGCTGAGTCCTTGCAAGGCAACTGTGTAGGTAAACACAACCCCATGATGGCACATTATGAGTACCTCAACCAATCACATGTACCATGTCGGCAGTACACAGCTCAGCCAATCCCTGACAGAGATGAAGACGAGGCTGATACGCGTGTGGCGAGGACGTCCCCGCAAAGATCGACTCACCCAAGACGCGTGGACTCGCTCTGTTTAATACGAAAGCAACTCTTACGTCATCAGGACAAAACCACGAACGCCACACTTGACATACCGGAATGTCTGCCGTGTTTGTTCCCGGCCGTTGGCGACTACCACAGTATGATCAACAAAACCAAATTCTCCGGTGGTTTGTCTAACGCTAGGGATCCCTGCTCTATCCGTTCGTCAGAATCTCACACCGACATGCGTAATCTCCCCCCGTATATTTCCGTCAGTAGTTCCTCCAGCAGTGAGTACTTCTCGTGTGAAGAAGATGTGAGCAGAGTCGACTGTACCAGCCGTGGTGATGTGGAGTCCAGCGGTCACCTAACCATGGAGAGTGGCCAGGTGCTCGGACCAGAAACTGTTGAGTGTAACACGGTACAGGGAAGCTCAGGGGCGACAGACGACCGGGCTAGTGAAACACATTCCACAGTGGGCGATAGCACCGCTGAAGCCTTAAACAACGAGGATAATGTTGTTATTCATCTTTCAACGGACAGTAAGAAAAGTATCGCACTAATCAATGTCTCAAACCAAAAGCTTAATACCTTTCCTCAGCCATCGATAAATCTTAATTCACAAAAGCGTGAGATAGAGCCGCCTGGTGTTGCACCAAACCAAGGGATAGACCGGACAGCACTCGGTATGATGACATCGTTTTGGCCGAGGGCTGTCAGGCTTAAAATTTTTTCAAAACAACGGGGAGGAAAAGTCAACCTGATGACCAAGATGACCCCTGCAGTCTCTATAAAAAAACAACAACATAGAAGCGATCAGCGGACAAATACGAAAAAAGTTTGTCATAACACAAGACAAATATCCTCTAGTCTGGCGTTTCAAAGGACTAGGCCTCGTTTAAAAATACCCAGGCTGAATTTATCCCCTTCTCATCAGGTAATAAATTATTTACGAGTAATGCATAACAAAGTTCAGCTAGACAATTTTTTTCCGTTAAATATTTAAAGCAATACTAATTTAAAATACCAATTTAAATTTATATACCTTTACCAGTGTCCACCCCTCTGGTTCTATTACATATGTGCACATGATTAGGGGGTGGGGGTGGTATTCTAAATCACTGGTTCGTAACTAAAGTTCGATCGAACCTCAGGGGTTTGGTGAACAGGTCTCAATGGTTCCGCGGATGTTAAGACCCACACCTGACTCGTATGATTCACGTTCGGATTTTGTCAGATATTCGCATATGAAATGGTGGGGTTCGGGTAACTCAAAAAGGGTTAAGAACGACTGCACTAAACCAAAGCCTAACTCCTGATACAGCTACCCCAACAACACTAAAATATCTTTCACCCCTCCCCCCCCCCCCCATTTCTACTCTAACTCAGGTTTAAAATTGTACACATTGTCAGCAAAGAATCAAGAGGAAGCGCCAAGCGCAAATACAATATGATGCATCGTATACAAAAGCACATGCACATAAAAAAACCAATAAAATATCCAAGAAAACCAAAATTTTGTTACAGTTATTCTTTGTTTCTTTGGGCATTTCGTCTTACATACATACGCGAAAACTGTTAAACTATTGTTTTTAAATTTTAACCTTATTTTTGTTAGCACACGTTTAAAACCTTCAAAACATCATAATCGGTTCTCAAAAATTGGGGTACCCGGAAAATTTTACACTGGGAACAGGTACATTTTTTCTCACTGGTAGTAGATTTGATGTTCAGTGGTTTCTCAAAAATTGGGTAATCACGTAAAGAAAGTCTAAAAAATCCTACTCTGGAAACATGTACTACAAAAACTGACAAATTACCCTAAATTCTTTCTTTAATATTAGCACTACTACAATTACAGACTGCAAATACATGCAACAGGAACAGAGGCGTAGCGACCGGGGACAAACTTTTCGATTTGCACCCCCCCTCGAGATTTTGATTTGCACCCCCCCCCCCCTCAAACTTTCGATTTGCACCCCCCTCGAGATTTTGATTTGCACCCCCCCCCCTCAAACTTTCGATTTGCAACCCCCTCAACCTTTCTATTTATTTTTCCAACCCATTTTGGCGCCCCCTAAGGTCGGCGCCCGGGGACATATGCCCCCCGCCCCCCCCCCCCTCGCTACGCTACTGAATAGGAAACGTAAAAAAAAAAGATGGTCCCCTTTACTCGAACAACCTGTTTCTTCACAAGCCAACAACACAACTACAATATATGGGTTAAAGTTATAGTATAAAATTTATTCAAATACTTTATGTTGACCGAGCTCAGTCAATATTTTAGTAAAAAATCGATGTGTTGCTAAAACTTCAACTGCAATTTTAAGGGGGGGGGGGGTTAGGCTAAGGTCTGACGTCATTTGTGTTTTGACTGTCATTGACTGTTTTGTGACTAAGTGTGAAGGAGGAGCGGGAGGATGGTATGACCCCCTTACCAAAGGAAACCTATAAAAAGCTGACCTTGGCAAATATGGATAAATATCTAAAGTGAAGACCCACGACAAGTTGAGGTCCAGAGTTGGTAGAAGATATATAGGAAGCGTCTAGATCTAAATGGATGAAGGTGGTGAAGCTGTCCCATAGCCATATGGATAGGTCACAGGTCAGATGGACGATGTACCCAGCAGCTAGAACCTGTTTTAAAATTTTAAAAGTGAAGACTATGCCTAATTCAATATTAAATTAATAAATTGCTTTGTCAACGGGGATAAGGGAGACGGGTTGCAAGTGTAAGGCCGAGCTGCAACATCATTTTAGCATAGATATAGGTTTAATTATATTTTTTTTAGGCCTAAGCATTACGCAGAATCGAAATGAGTGAGGTTGGATACATTTAATATGCCAGATAGATTATAGATAAATCTATATTACTACATTTAACTTCGTGTGCTATACATCTCTAGAGTGGTGGGGGGGGGGGGGGGGTCACGCAATTTTTTTTAACGCCCACTCCCAAATCTTACATTACATAAGCATTAAAATCAAGTTATTTGTTACGTTTCTTAAAATGTTACAATTTTTGTAAATTTTGTCATAAAGAAAAGAGGAAATTAAAAAATTGTAATCAGGATACAAGCTCACGGAACGATATTTTTAACTTAGATAAACCCAGGTCCACTGTAGGAACGTAGGTTAGGCTACTTAACTAGCCAAGTAAACTTCCGTGTGGTGATGTTTGTTTTCTATAACTAACTCGAGGCGTTTTTAGTGATTAAGGTAAACAGGGGGTCACAATGACATGATTATAATTTTCTATAAATAGGGATTCTTCAAAATACTTCAAATGTCTTACTTCAAACTTAGCCCAGTACTTATATAAGTACTACAGTTACTTGTCAGTTACAGTAGTCAGTAGACTAGTAACTAGATCTAGAATCTAGATCTAGGTGTCAGTAGTAGTAGTCAGAAGTCTCTCACTCAGCAGTGACTCAGTCTCCAAGATTTGATTTGTCATTATTAAATAAAATTAAATATTATCCATTATTTATTTGAGTATTTCACTAATTAATTAATATTTGTTGTGAGATCATTTTGAGTTGCTTGGCTTTGACTTTAAATCGCATTTAAAATAGGCCTAATAAAATTAATAAAGTTAACAACTTGCAAACTGATAACAGAACATCCACTTACCAGAGTACTTTGCGATAAGAAAGAGTAGAAAGAGAAATCACCATACTTCTCTTCAGTCTTCACGTTTGAAACTTACTTTAACTACTTAGAGTAGACTGGTGAAAGTGAAGACAATGAGGTTATAGTTAAATACCAATATTATCGGGCCTAATGGTAATTCAATTGATTCACAAAATTAGTGTTAAATTTCATTTGGTTAGGCCTATTTTAAAATTTGATTTTTGATATAGTTTTTTTTTCAAATTTTTTGTTATATGATAGGGGGGCCTACTATATATTTTTTTATATTTGCAGGTTAAACTTTGCTGATTTTGTCTCCCTTATTTCTGAGCTTTGATTTATGAAGGTTGAGGTGTAATAACTAATTACAAAAATGATCATTTCTGGATTTACACAGAAAAAGAGGTATGGATATTAATTCCTATAGGCCTGTCTTTAGCAGTTTATCCGCATAATAGAACATGTATCATCATTGAAGATATTTCAATACATTAATTATGACCTTGGAAATACAGTATTGTTATTCACATTTATTTTTATAATTAAACTATTACAGAAGTGCAACTTAATTATCCTAATTAAAACTAAATATTAGGGCCTATAATAAAAATCTTTTCATTTTATAAATGTCAAATATTAAAGGTAAAATAATCATAAGACTTCAAAAGTAACTGACTATTCTTTTAATATGCAAGTTGTTTTGAATGCTTTATTTTTTTTTGTATTCTTAATAATGAAATTGCCAATTAGTCCCTTAAATCTTGTTCAGTGTACTGTGTTTCCTCCCTTTCCCTGTTTGATATTTGTTTTATTTCCAGTTTTAAGCAAAACATGATAAGATGTGTACAGATTACCATCCCTTGTGGTGTTTAATATTTATATCATTTACAGTTTCAGCAACCAACAGGATGAAATGTACACCAACTTACCTGGCCAGCACAGCCATTGTTTACACTGTCGCCAAGTTACCTGTACTCACTTTGTCGACAATGTCACTGCTTGCGTGATGGTGACATGCGAATCTTGTGGCTGGCGGTGTCATGATTGTAAGAAAACTGAGCACACCCTCACTTGCCCAGAGGAGAGGGTGTTCTGTGTGAACAAGGAGTATGGATGTCCCCATATGCTGAAAAGATCCAAGATGGCTTCCCACTTGCCTGTTTGTCCAGCTAGTGTTGTTTGTTGTGTTGAAGAGTGGAGCAGGTAAAGGATTCAAAATTTTAAACCTAGTTTAAATTATTTTAATTAAATCATATTTACATTTTTATTCGTATTGTCACCCGAGCAGCAAATGTGTGTAGCGTTCTTTGTTACTATAATGTTAGGTCTTGTGCAATCCTTTCTCACAGTGTGAATGGTTTTGTCAACAATGTAAAACTATTTTGGTACCACCTATTGCATAATTTCTATTATTAGCTTGTCCATTTGTCTTTAAGTTTACAAGTCAAATTTTATTTAAGCCACACTAGCTTCTTGCTTATATCAGTTGCATAATAACTATAAATAACAGTTCCGTTTTGGCCTTGACCTTGTTCTTGAAGACAACCAAATATGTTGTTTTTGTAACTACACTAGTTACAATTTATTAAGAAATATTTGTTACTCATACTGAAAATAAATTTATATTAGTTTAAAAAAAAAACAACTTTATTTTTCATATTTTAGGTGGCCGATGCATGCTAAAGAAACTGGCCAGAGAATGCCTTTACCAACCTCAAAGACATATCTAGATTGTGGACAGCTTGATGTAGGTCTTGCCATGCGGGATCAACGAATGCTTATTGACTCATTGCGTGCTCCACAAAAACTTCGTCGAATTCTTCGAAACCCACTCACTCAAAAGTACCCAGCGGCCCCTCTTAATTATCGCAGCTCTTCATTTGATTCTGATATGGCAGCTTCTGGCAACACTTCCCAGACACTTTCAGATGACGACACTGATGCACCATGGGACTTATCCAAGCCACATCCTGGTCTTAGAGAAAGTATACGAAATCGCCTCTTCCTCGTGACTAAAGAAACAACAGAAAGTTTAGCCAGCGCTTTGGAAATGACATCTAATGTTTTAGCATCTTCTCAAAACAAGAATCCTGTGAACGGTTGTGATGGTTTAAAACAAGTCGATGGTACACTTGACGATGAAAATGTAAAAGAAAGATCCTCTTGTAGTCCTGTTCGCGATGATTTTTCATCGGATATAAAAGATTCCACCTTTAGTAGGAATAGTGAATCAGCTGAGAAATCTGTACAACTAACAGCGGATAGGTCAAACAGGGCATCACAATCTGCTGAACGTTCAGTGAGAAGTAGTGTATCTTCAGATCGTTGCAGCGACACGAGCTCGAGATCCAAGTCCACGTGGCACGACATAGGAGGCACTCAGTTGCACAAGCTGTTGGGGTATCAACCAGAGGAGGGTCAGGAGATCAGCTTGGCTAAGATGCTGGGGGTCAACATTGGGTTTGAGTGCATCAATAAGTATGTGGCTAAACCTCCAAGCATGTATACTTTCATCTGCTCGCAGAATTTCAGACGCGACGAGTTCAAATGGCATTTTAAGGTAGCTGTATCACAAACATGGTATAAAATCATGTTTTGGGTTTTGTTTATTCTGTTTCAGTTATAGTCGATATAGTGAAATATTAAGACTGTTACATTTTTTCATCATGTGCTTAGTGTAGCCACTGTAAACCATGTAAAACTATGACCAGCTGTCCATGTAACCTCCTTTCAATTAAGTTAGGTTAAAGCTGTACTGTCTTAAAGCTCTTAGTTGAAATCTGGATACAGCCATTACATTGATCACTTTTGGAAATAGTAATTTTCACAGTAAAGCAATACAGTGCCTTTGTTATTAATCTCTGCAACTTTGTTACACGACATATAGTTAGTTAAAAGCAGTATCAATGTTGATTTTAAAAATATTGTCTTTATTATAAGTAAGTAAAATACCTTTTCAAACCTGATGGTCCTTATGGCAGGTAAAGTAGAACACCTTTTCCAGTGACCTCTGCATATGAAGGAATAGTGTGGTCAGCACTATGCCCAGCTGCTTTGCTTTCTCTAGGTGGATTCAAGGATGTTGTACTGACAAGAACCTGTGATTTGAACTTGTTAACTGTGTTGGCAGTTGTATACACTACCATCCAACCACACAGTCCCATCTCATTCTTATAAGACCAAGTTTAAAAATATTTTGTTACTTTGATTTAATTATATTTAAATATGTTTAATTTATTCGTTTACAAAGGAGTTAACTTATTTTTTTCAGAATATACACCAGGAAATACACCAGGGATTTTGTGGCTGGCTTGAACAAAGATGTCCATTGGCATATTTGGGATGTACATTTTCCTTTCAGAGAATGGAGCCATCTCAGCCTAACAGAATGCTATATCATTCTCCTTTACTGGAGAGTTACGGTCTCCGAAGCACAGTCCAGCCTTACAGATCACCCAGTTCATTTAACACAAGCATAATCCCTGCATCAGAAAATATACAGCAGCCTTCAACTTTAGAAAACATGCCAGATTTTGAAAACAAATCAGGTCAAAAAAATTCTGTTGAGAACTGCCAGAAAGAGTATATGAACTGTGAAATAGACACAGATAACTCAAAGAACCCAAGCATAAGTAGCCTGGCAGCTTTTGACAAAGAGTTTGATATATTGACAGTTGGTAAATTACAGCTAGATCCCAAACCTTCCAATGAGATCAAACAAGCTGGCACATCACACCCTCATTCTTCTGAGTGCGACATGTCCAGCAGCAAGAAGTACTGTATGAGAGTCCAGCCCACCATTTACACTGCTTATAACTGGGACTCTAAAGTGCTGTTCCAGTATGACATTGAGGAGGATTATGACGATGATGGCTGTACGAGCCTCAGCAATTTACCTTTTGAAGTTCTCCAACAGATAGGTAAGGAAATAACAAAATTAATTTGAGAACTAAATTAAAATTGGTGAGCTGTTTTTCATGTTTTTTACCGGTATTGTTCATTGAACAATTTCAGTAGTGTGCCACACTTCGTTGTATTTGTAAGCTATTAGTTTGCATTATATTTCTTTGTATACATTTGGGTAGCCAATAGTTTCTTAAGTATCCATATTTTTATATATTTGTGTTTTTAGAATAGTTAATAATGCTATTGCATAAGATTAGCAGTGTAGATTTCTTCAGTTTGTGAGCCTTTTCTTTTTTGTTCTTGATTGTAGTATTGAAGATTTCCTTCTACACAATTAAGCATTAATGGTCTGTCAGCATGCTATGTGCCATCAGGTTGACTCTAATATGTGGAGTTTTCTATCTTGTTGTTGTCCCCAGCTTATGAGCCTCATGAGGACTTTTTGAGTTATGGACCTTTTGTTTGATAACCTCTCTTGTTTTGGTTTCTTTGTTTTTGTTCTATTTATAATTTCATGTTGTATTGTTATACAAAGTTGTGTTGAAATATTCATGTTGCATCGTTCTACAAAGTTCTGTTGATATATTTGTGCTGCATCATGCTGTACATTAATTGTGGGCTGTATATCACCACACATTGTAAGTGAGTTTCTTATTTTATTGCTCATTTTCACATACACCAGAACACATTATGCAAAAAAAAAAAAAAAAAATTTACACAGTTCAAAATTAATAAACAATGGTAAAATTGAACAAATTTTTTTTTACTAAATTGAGTTTCTGAATTATTTTTTTTTCAGCCAGGCACTTGGACAGCTTCAGCTTGTGTAATCTTGCTCTAACCTCTAGACTGCTGCGTGAAGTATGTTGTAGTTTACTCAATGAACATGGCATTGTATTGCTGAACTGGCAAAAGCATAAAGAAGAGAATAGTGGTGTTACCAGTTGGAAAGTTGTTAATAAGGTCAGTTACAGCAAAAGTTTATTTCTTTTATCATTACTTTTCACTTCCTTAGAACTAAAAAAATTATTTTTCATATATATATTTTTAAAAAATCTTATTTAATATAAGATTATTGTCTTTAGTTTGTGATATTTTTGTTTATTTATATTTTGACATTAGTAACTTATTTATAAAAATTTGAATGTAACCTACTAAATAAAAAAATATAAATTCCTATCTTAATATATATTTTAGGCTTAAATTAGAACAGTAAGACGAGTGACTGTACTAAAACTATGTCTTTGATACACATGTTTATGTTCATCCATGTAAGTCTGTATATTCTTCATTTCACAGCGCTGGCTTTTCAGTACCAGCTTTGAACCAGTGGAGTCATGGAAATACACTGAGAATCACCCCACCATTGGCGACCACCTGAAAATTTGTCCATTCAACAAAGACATTACCCGCCACACCCAGCCATTCAAAGTGTTCCTTGATTCTCCTGATCGTACGTTTCATATAAGACCACAGTAGACTGCACTGCTCATACAGTCATATTAACAGAGTGACTTATGCCCATATCAATCACACTTCTTAATGTTAAAGAATTTACTTTTATGCTTAATCTTAATCCCTTTTCATGTGAAGAACTTTGTAAACCCTAAAATATTTATTTCATGTCTAGATTTTTTTTCTTTTAGCTGATGAAACGTATTTTATATTTAGAAAGAAAAAAAAAGATCTAGAATTTGTTTTTACATCTTAACATTGTATGTAAAGAGCATTTGTCAAAAGTAAATTGTAACTGTTTTCAATTAAATGTACAGTTAGATTATTTAAATCGACAATAAAATACGGCTTGCGCTTACTAGAAGACGAATAAAGTGCAATATAACTTATTTATATTTGTACTATGTACTTAAAGATGTTTGTCTTACATTATTGTTTAATAGGTGAAAGCAAATAATCGATGCTATATACAGCTTTATGCATCAGTTTTATTTTAGGCTCAGTTTTACCGTCATTTTTTTTCCTCAATTTCTTTGCCGATTTTGAGGCTCGATTTTATCAATTTTTGGGCACTATGTACAAGTTTTGGGCCTTAGAGTTTTATTTTTTGGTTTAGTTAAGGGGCAGTAACACCCAGACTGAAGGGAGAGAAACAAAAAAAAATCCGCAAAAAACCTATCAGGCATACAGCTGTCACACTTATGCAGTGGTAATTATGATTCTACAACTATAATGCAGCATATAATTGTAGGCATATTTATAATGCAAAATACTTTGACAAAAATAATAGCACATATTTTATAAATATTTGTTACTCTTTTGTAAAAACTTATTCACTATTAGCCACTTTAGGATAATAACATTCTATGATTAATAAGGTACTTTCAATAGGAGTTTAGGTCCAACCATCAGTAAATTTCACTATCTGATTCCTTAAGTTCAGGCTACAGTTAATACTGTTTGTTTACATTTAGACAATTTTCAGAAATTTGTATTTTGGAAAACTACAAATGAATAAGAAATTTTTTCTTTTACAATTTAATAAATCAACTAAGGTATTTGGAATATAGCTTTTCAATAGTATTATCCACAGCTGGAACTACAAGCATAGCACCCTAGTACAGGGGTCGGCAACCTGCGGCTCGCGAGCCGCATGCGGCTCTTTTGATGTCAAGATGCGGCTCTTCAGCTCCATGCTAATTATTTTAATTTATTTTAAAACTCATAAAAATATTAGTCTGCAATACTCGGTAATTAAAGATATACATCTAATAACCATGTCAATTTTCTAATTTCGAGCAGAGCTTGCTAAACTACTTTAATATGTTTTTTTTCGAAACATGTGTATGTTTTTATATAAATAAATATTATTTCATATTTATAGCTATTTATTTTAAATGTAATGTATATATATATATATATATATATATATATATATATATATATATATATATATATATATATATATACATAATCAAATATCATAATATTGAAATAAAAATGTTTGTGGCTCTTTAAAAACTGTGAAACGTGGTAAATTGTAACTTTTGGCTCTTCCGTTCCAAAAGGTTGCCGACCCCTGCCCTAGTACATTTTGAATTTTAATGCATATTGTCTTATTCTGGTCAGATTAAAAAATTCAAACATTTTCAAATTTTATCATAATGCAATATTTTTAGTTCCAGCCATGGATAAAGGTATTAGGCAATTTTTTTTACCAATTTTCAGAACAATCTGTATTTGAGAAAACTACATTTTTAAAACTTAAATATTTAACATTTTTGGGGTCAGATTATTTTTAAAAAATTGTATACAGGATTCATAATCCTTCATTTACATGCTGTTTTACCATAATCATTATGGTAAAAAATATATGTTTGCTTTTTTTTTTCGCAAAAAATTTCAATATTCCGATGTCAGGGCGATACTTCCCCTTTTAATCCATGTTTTCTTACCAAAGCCGTTCAAATTTTAGAGCCCAATTTCCATACAGGTTTTTTGGCACAGTTTATATTATATTAAGTTTTTGGCTCAGTAAAAATCAGTTTTTTTTAATGTTGAAGTTAAAGTTGCCTGGACATCGTAAGAATTTTTTTTTTTAGCTGTGTCCCAGAGAGAAATTGGGCATTTAGAAGCTCATTACCAAACTTTTATACACATTCTGCTCATTGTTGATGTACAACATATTTATTGACTGTAAGGCAAGGGAAATAACAAGCTCAACACCAACTGCTAAAAATAAGCTGCCTTATTTCGAAGCATGCTTTTCTCACTATGCCTTGCTCAAAGTGCTTTACGTAAGTTTTTGGTGTCATGGTTTTGATTATGTGTTCAGAGAATGATACATTATGTTATATGTACTCATTTACTATTTTATTGTTGATGTGGAATAATTTATAAATATATTTAGATACTTCATGCATTTAAAGTAGTATGTTCTTAATACTTAGAACAAAACATATTTATCTAGCACACTGTATATTTATTAGATTGCTTGAAATAAATTGAATGTTTTTTTTTATTCTGTAGAACTCTGAACCTTGGTATATATTTGACAATAAATTTTTTTCCTAAAGGGCTGTTATGTTACTGGTTTAGCAATAAAGTAATGGTAGTAGTGTTTTTGCACCTGGTGGTAGTTTGACACTACACATAGGGCTACATCAAAATCAAGGGTCTGTCCTAGTTAATGTGTTGTAATAGCACGGCTGATTTTAGATGATGAAGTAGGCCAGTAAGGAAAATGATGGCTAGAAATGTCACAAAACTAAATTTTTTATTTCATATAAGTAGGGCTAAAATTGTTTTAAACTTGATTTGGTGAAGTTGTTTACGTCAATAATGTAATTAATAAGAAATAAATGTTATAAAGACTTTAATGAACCGAATTATTGTATCAGTTATATGAGTAAATTGTGTGAATCAAAGCCTCGGTTCCACTTGTAATTTGTTTTAATTGTAGGATGACTGTAATTGGAATCTGCCAATAAATAAAAATTTGATTGTAAGGTAAATCTAAATTATAAGTGTTATTTTTTTTAATTAAACCAGTCGCAGACTGTTTTTTAGTTTTGATGTAAAAATTTTTTTCTGTGATAATATTTTTATGCAAGATCAATGTGCCTTTGGTGTGCAGAATTAGTATATTTTTTTTTAGCATTAAGACCTGGGTTTGCTAGCTGAAATAAATGAGCTTTCTGCTGCTTAGTGGTCAAAATATTTATTATTTACTGTAATATTACTGTTTAGAAAGATAGAAACTAGATTTGAAAAATAAATAAAAAATTTCAGAACTTGAGTACATGGTTTGAATATATTTATTTCAAAAGCCTATGTGATTTTTGTATTTCTGTGAGTGAATAGTTTTTTTAAACTATACATTTTTATAGTATGGGAAATGTTTTGTTGATCTATTGGAATTTCCTGAGCTTACAAACTGCTTTCACATATCCTGTAATTAGATATTTTTATACAAACTTTTTTTGTTTCTGTAATATTTTTAAATTTATATTTCAGATATGGTGGCTTAAGTATGTTTTAAGTAAAGTAATGAATTTAAAATCCTCTTTTTAAATGATTTTTGCTTTATTTATCAATGTATTTTATAAATCTTTAGCGAAGAGGTAAGGACTAATTCTGCAAATATTGTAGCATTATTTTTTCTATGACTTAAAAAATTAAAATACTGTGTTTTGTGTTTTAAAAAAAATAATTGAAAGGAAAATAACAAAGAAATGAGGTAAACATACATTCTTGATCTAGTCTTAGATAGCTCGTATACTTTATAATAATAAAAGGATGTGAAACACATTACATTTTTAAGTGTTGAGGTGTGCTGTTTCCTGACTCCAACCAAAACTGATCATTTTAAGAATTGCTCAAAACACAACGGCTATACATTTGGGATATTTCAATGCCTAAAAAATAAGTAACAAGCCCATACAGACTTGATGGTTTATTCATCAGATAATAGTTGATAACAGCCTCAGCAATTGAAAGGATTGTATGGTAGTTACTATCCATAGCTTTTAAACAACCTTTACTTTCTTCAAGTAGTAAACCTACCCATCAGCTTTTTTAGATTCAGTCCTGGTACCCTAGAGACATTCTGTTTAGTTTATTGCCCTATACCACTTCATCCACCTTTGCTGATCCACTTAAAATAAAGATATCTATGCTAAAAAAGATTGAAGAACTACTAGATCATTCAAATTGTCTTTAAAATTTTCAGTTCTAAAATAAAAACAGATTTTTAAAACAGTGTAATAAATTATTGTTTATTTAATTCAACATTTACCTTTACAGCAAATATGGCTGTTAGCATTATATAAAAAAAAAGTTTTGTATCAAATAATTCTATCCTTTTGTACAACAAAAGGATCTGTACATTCAGTAGCATACAATGTACAATACATTTTACAGTGAAAAGGGGAACTACTCACACTTTCATAAATTCACATTAATTCCCTTTATTTTCGCTATACCATTAGTGTTGCAGAATACTCGTAACATTCAACCCTATCATTCACACCCCCACATTTGTTCTTATAGTTGTTTTTTTTAAATTTGGAATTTCATTGTAAAGTAAAAAAAAAAAATGACAATATTCACAACAGGTTAATACTTAATAATAACTAAACTTTACTTTAAGCCCACAATGAATTTAACTATAATAAACCAAACTAAAACCAGGAGTAATATAAAAAAAAAATCATGTTTAGAACAAGCAATAAAGAAGTGGACCTAAGAAATTTTGTTTAGATAAAATAAAGTATGCACATACCTAAACACCAATCAAGTATATTAGTGAGAAAAATGTAAACAACTATATTAACAAAAATTTATCAAGATGAATTCAGTTGATGACTATAATTACAATGTAAATCAAACCAAAAACAAGTAATAATTTTACAAAATCATTATAATTAAAATTGCTTGTTAGATGACATTTGAACTGTAAACATTAATATAACGTTTTAAACTCAGATCTTTGAAGTATTATTCATAAAAGGCATAGTTTTTTTTTTAAATAAAAAAATAAAGTAATCTCATTTTTATCGGCAGCCCTTGCTTAACATTATAACTCTTTAAAACTAACTCCAGTACTAAACCAAATTTATCTTCATTATGCATCTGTAATAAATTTAAATTTTATGAGATTAACTAAAATAGAAGAATAGAGAGAGCTGATACTACAAAGTTAATAAAAAAATTCTTTTCTCTGTACTGCATGTATTTGAAGAGTATTTTATTTTCAAACTGCAGAGTACCTTGCCCTTGATAGCTTTAAAAATATGAAACCACTAAAGTCTACTGTGATAGGGGAACAGCTAGGTCAGCAGTTTCTGTCCCATCCATCACTTCACCCCCTTGACCTGTGCCCTGTAGTTGTGCCATCACGTCTGATGAATGTGTTAGACTTTCCAGGTGCTGGGCAGCCAGTTGCTAAATAGAAAATACATACAGATTCTAGGCTTAGTAAATAAATTAGTTACTAGTAGTAGAACTACATCACAAAATTACCAAGTAAATTAATGCAAGTGCAATACAGAGTAAAATAAAAAATAATATCTGTGCTGTGAAAAAAAAAGGATACTTGTTTAACTGCATTACTACTTAGATTTAGTCATCATTCCACCCCCTCCCCCACCCAGAAAACAGACATTGCTTTGAGATGATGTACTAGAATTTTTAAAATATTTTATATAACTGAAGGTACTGTAGCAATGCTCAGAGAAAATAATAATAAATCATGAAATAAAATAAAATTCACCCCTGGCTACACCAATTATTACCATGGCGACTGTAAACAACTTACCTGTAAAGCTTCCAGTTGAGCTGGGTCAGTGACCACCAAAACCTGCTGACCATTTTCTCCGAGGGAAAGACTAGTGAGCCCAGTGATGCCACTCTGCTGTAGGTCCTGCAGGGTTATGCCACTTGGGGTCTGCAGTGTGACTAAACTGGCAACTTGGTGGCTGCCGTCACTGGTTACGAAGGTAGTTGCGTCCCCTGTTCCTACACCAGATGTCAGCAACATCATCTGCAAATCAGAATATCATTCAATTATTTTTTTTATTTAAAAAAAAATTCCATTACTTTTTATTTTATGCTGTTTAACAAAATTAATGTAAATACTTTTTCACACAATTGTAAAAAAGTTAAAGATTAATAGACAAAAAAAAGAGCAGTAAGCATCTGTACTGCTTGCAAATTAAAACAAGTTAATTAAAAAAGTCTAGTGACGTTTATGCGCAATTTCCTTATGTTATCTAAAAATAGCTCTGACGTATAATGCTGGGGTGTGTTCAAGCTAGAAGAACGATCGGTTTGTAGGTGTTTATGTAATTTTAAAATTTGTGACCGAACGAGAGGATATTTTTGAAAACTTTCTTTGGCAATATTGTTCTAAATTATGGCAGGAATCGATTGGTACATGTTTCAAGTCGCTAAGTGGTATGGTTGCCGAGATATGGGCCAAAAACTGCATTTTTTCGAGGTTTTTTGGCTTTTCCTGGAAATCCATGAAAGAAACCCGGAATTTTTATGGCCTATGTTCATTCTCGTAACTTGCTTAACATAATTGCTTTTGGAACTAGTCATCGATATTGCTTCGTTGAGGAGGAGATACAGCTTAAAGCCCGGACACACATTCATACATCCATCCATTCCCAGAAATGACGAGTTAATAAACGCAATTCTCCAGAATGGAAATTGCGCTAAAAAAAGATATCCCCAAATATGTGAAGACTGTTTGTTGATTAATATAAAAATAGAAACAATATTCAAGACATGAGGCCAGGATTAAAGTATACCCCTGTGGCATGAGTAAGATATCACTAACTACAGTAAATATTTTATAGTGGCTACAGTTTAATTAGATTTAAAAAAAAACCATGAAATTGTTGTAACAAAATATTATGTTGTCACTGTCAATAGATTACTGTAAGCAATCACACAGATGTAGAAAGCAGTATACCCAATGGTGACTCAAGCAAAACATTACAAAGTGACTGGAGTAAGTAAGATACAATTTGATGAATACCAGAACTTAAACATTGACAGTGGGAATCTGACTCATTCTTCAAAACTGAACTCTATCAAAACAGATGTATCTCTATCAGTAACAATCAGATTCTGACCCATCCCTTCAAACACCTGAATTTTAAAACTGCACTGACAATGAGATTCTGACCTGAACTTTATCACCAACGGATGTATCTCCATCACTGACAATGAGATTCTGACCCATCCCCTCATCCTCTTGCGACAACTCAGATTTGATCAACATCTTCTTGGATGGAGGTTCATCAGAGTCTAATAATCGGAAAAAGAAAATGTGTTCATGAAGTTCATGTTTATATAACTGTTTTCCTTGTTTTGAATTTTAAAATCACTGAGTTTTTAAAGTTTAAATTTAAACTTGTTTCACATCATCTGAGTACTTTACAATTTTAAGTTACCATGAATTTTAAAATCGCTGAGTTTTTAAAGTTTAAATTTAAACTTGTTTCACGTCATCTGAGTAGTTTACAATTTTAAGTCACCAATCTCCAGCATGCAAAGACACAAAATTTCAAGTTTTAAAAGTTTTTATTTTACCTGTTTCTGTGGAGGTAACCAAAAGCCCCTGGGGTGTCTCCTCACCGTGGGCTGTTCTCTTGTGCATGGCTAAGGTGCTGGTCTGTCTGTATGTTTTCCCACAGTGGCATGTGTAGGGTTTAGAATGGGTGTGAACCACATTATGTTTGTAAAGACTACTGTACTCTGTGAACCTTTTGCTACAGCCCAAGAAACCACAAACATACGGCTTTTCACCTACACAAGAACATATGAAAACAATTTTGTAGATCATAATAGAAGGATAAAGATCTACTTTGTTAAAAAAAAAGATAATCTAAAAATCCTATTAATCTAGTTAAAATTACCTGTATGTATTCGAATATGATTTTTATAATTTGTAGCTGAGGCAAATGCTCGACCGCATCCCTCCATGTCACATATATATGGTCTCTCTCCCGTATGTGTTCTTATGTGGACTTTGCGGATATTGGACGTAGTAAATGACTGATTGCAACCTTCAAACGGGCACTTGAAGGGACGCTCCCCTAAATTAAAAGAATAAAAAGTACATTTTTTTAGAAATTCAACATGAACTTGACTGATGTGTAAATAAAACCCAAGTGTATTATAATTTGCTGACTGTTTGGCATTCAATTTTTACATTATATAGGAATCTATAAGGTGATACCTATACCAGTAGACCCTTTTGTTTTTTTAGATCAATGATTTTCAGCCACAAATATTAAATGCAAACTAATAGTATGAAAATTCATTGACAAAAACACATAAGTAAGTTTAAAAAAGTTTTTTTTTTTATACTTTTATTGAGCACAAGGTGTAATTTTGTAACAAAATCACACTTTCTTCAAATAAAAGTAAAAAAAAAAACAACTTTTAAAGTAATGTTTTTGGGTCTTGAGCCTTTTCTCTTTTATCTGCTTAGAAGTATTTCAGTAAAATAAATTTTCAAAGCTTTGCAATAATGCCATATGCTGAAGGGATACAATCTTACCTGTATGTGTGCGTACATGTTTTTGTAAATCACCAGATGTTTTAAAAGCTTTCTCGCAGCCCTTGTCAGTATGTGGACAAGCGTATGGTTTTTCCCCTGTATGCACCCTGTTGTGAGATTTCAGGCCATAACCAGTAGCAAACCTTTTGTTACAGTTGGGGAAATCACATTGGAATGGTCGGTCACCTGTGTGTGACCTTTCATGAACCTGAACACAGAGGAAATAAATACATAAACCTAAACACTCAGGTAACAAATAACAGGCTTATTTAAACATAAAAGATAAACCACAAAATCTGTGTATTAATGACAGTCAATGAAACATATGAACTTGCACAAAACTAACCATTTAGGTAATAACTAACAGGCAAATTTTAAAAATAACATATATGAAAAAATAATTACACTAATCTGATCAGCCAGGATAAAATATTTTAAAATCCAGGAAATATAACAGAAAAATATTAACTTTTAATAAAGTAATAGGATGTCTAACTTCAGTCACCCTTATGTCACAATTAAAATATTTTAAAAAAAATAACGACTATTCACAGTGTTGTGTGGCATTAGGTATTTTGATCAAGTTTTATTTTAATTTAGTTACATCTTTTAACCTGCAAAATAATGGCTAATATTCAGCTTAAAAAATAACTTATTTAAGTGCAAAAGTGTGACATCAGTTTATGAAGAGCACCCCTCTACCCCTCTTTATAAAAATCTAAGCCACCCTCCACTCTCACAATCATTTACCTACTACCTACCTTTAAATGATGGTGTGTTGTGTATAAGCGTCCACAGTCCTCATACATACACTTGTATGCCTTGTCCCCCAGCAACACAGCTTTCTCTACTGGTTTGATCATCATAGTCTGTAATCAAATTACCAAAAAAAAACTTAATGACAAATACAGCAACAGTTTATTTACATACACAACCCATAAACTATATTGTTTACAGTCATTTACTTCTTTTCTTTAATTAAACCAATAATTGCTTTACCCGAAGATCTGCAACCAACCACTGGTGTTAGTACTAGTTCCCAGAAAGTATGTGCAAATTTGAAACATACAAATTAAAATATTTAGGAAACTTGAAGATATAAGGGACAATCAATGATAAACACCAGAGCAGGCCTAAGCCAATAAACATTTTGTGTCACCCCAGGAAAAGGTGTGATCTGAATGGTCAAAGTTTTGTGTAGTCCTAGTAGATGAGCATAGGATGGAGTGGTCTAGCGGTAGAGAGCTGGACTGCTAACCCGTAAGTCTCGAGTTCGAATCCGGGTTCAAGTCAGTAGACCGTCCCTGAGTCCACCCAACTCTGATGGGTACCTAACTCACATTAGGGAAAGTAAAGGCGGCTGGGCACAGTGCTGACCACACTATCTCTTCATATGCCAAGGTTACAGAAACAAGTGAACTCTACTTCACTTGCCCCATAGACCGTCAGGTTTGAAAGGGAAACTTATTAGATGAGCATTTAAACAAACCTAAGTGTTCAACTAGTTGAACCCATAGCTCTAGTATACACATTGTACAATATATCAGCGTGGTCAAATAGTCAAAATTGTGTGTGGCACTAACAAACACCTGTTGTTACATACCTGAGAGGTCAATTGGTCTAAATTGAGACTTGCACCATCCAGACCTGTTGTATCAGCAAAAATTCCATCTGAGCTACTTCGAGTTATAAATGCAGTTGAGCCATCCTCAAAATGTATTTCCTGGAGACCTTCATCTACTACGTGTCAACAATAAAAAACATTTAAAAAATGCACATACAACTAATTTTCTAATTCATATTTTTTAATGAAAAAATACAAAATTTTAAATAATTTTCTCAACTAACGAGTCTGAAAAAATACTAAATAAAAAAGCCAAAAAAATGTGGTATGCAACATATATAATAATAGTTGTAGCTGATGACTTAAAAATAATTTTAAAAATGTCTGTGCAGGAAGTATGGCGCATCACAACATTACTTCGAACAATTCAGCATATTTATAGGAGGAAATTGTAAATTTTAGGGAAACATCACAGTGACCTTAAAAAAATGCTTCGCTCTTTAAGGGAATATGCTATGTTTTTTTCTATTTTTTACAATTTAAGATCTAAAGCCTTTTGAATACTTTTATCATATTTGGCATATAAAAGTAATTATTAAACAGCAAAAAAAAGGATCGAAAACAATTTTGATTGTCATGGAAACCCAAAAAACCTCCGCCATTTTGAATTTTTAGGTACTTTTAAAAATACTAAGGCTTTTTTATTTATGCACCTATAGCAATCAAATTTAAACTGCTTATATTTCAGTATATATTAAAACTTTTGTCACGACAACTTTTTGAAATAATTACTAGTAAGAATTTTACAAGGTCTAAAAAATCGTACCCTTTTTAGTATACAAAAGTTTCAAAGTTTGCATATTAATTACCAAATACTTTTTTTCTATGAAAGCAATCACAATTCCCTCGTGACAAAAGTTGTGTTTTTGCATCAAGAACAATGACTGAAAATATGGTTGGCATTGTTTAATAAATAAAAAAGTAGTAGGCTTTTTAGTGTTAAAAACATACGAACTGAGAAAAACAGCCAAAAGTAATGAAAACTAGGTCAGGAAAGTACCATATCTGTGTAAACTGCAAAGCCGATTGTAAGCTTTAGGTGTTTCCGATATGTAGGAAATTAAGTTTATTAGATATATGAGAAATCCAGCTTTCCAATGATGTCAAATACAATATAATGATGGATATAAAACTTTTCATAGAGATCTTGTAAGATTGGGAAAAATTGATTATTTTTTAATTAATAGGATCATAAAAATTGTAATTCAAACACATAAAATATTTTTTTCTCTTTAAAGTTATTTTTTTCTTTATACAAAAATGGACAAAGTATCCAAAAGTGCAAGAAACTGATCATGACGAAAAACAAGAAATTTTGTGATTTTTTTCTGCGCATATCCCCTTAAGTTTTCAATTGAAAGTTTACCATATAAGGAATAAGTTTTCCAAAGTGCTCAGAAAAATAACAACTTGTATATTAAAACTTATGAGTAAAATGTTGATAATGCATTACTTACACACTTCCTTGGAAGCAGATCTCAATAACGCAGTCGTGCCATCTTCTAATTTGATGGTTTGACCTTCCTCAAACTTGGGTATACATTGCTGGTCTGACCCTATCACACATGAAATGGAGAATTCAAGCTTTAATTTATAAAATTCTAAATGTCACAAATGAATACAGTATGTACAGGGGACATGTACTTAGGATTATTTCTATTACTAGCAAACTATTTTATTGCTACCACTGCACAATTCTAACAGACAATTAAATGTTTAAAGAAAATTTAAACTAAATTCTTAAATACAGGTTTCATATCAGCTCATTTATAAAAATAAAACATGGTACAAGTATTATTTCCAATGAGTACTGTGCTGTATACTGATTTAAAAAAAAAATTACAGTTAAAAAACTCATTTGCAAAATAAAGTTTACCTTCTTCTGTTTTAATAAGAGTGGTAGTTCCATCTGATAATGTTAAAACAGTTTGAGTTAGCTCCCCTCCTTCTGATGTTATAACATTGGCCATGGAGAACTTGATGGCTTCAACAGATGCATTGGCAGTAACTACATTACCCTGTGGAAATTTTTTTTATCACTATTTTAGTTACAGCCATTCATTCTTTAAACAGCATATTTTTAAGTATCATTTCTTTTGTTTTTCCACTGAGGTTTTAAAATTATGTAAGACCACTTAAAATAAAAGACCAAATTTTGGTCTGGTAAAAAAAGATAATTATGAAGTTAGAGGGTTTATAATCTATATAAGCTAAACCTTAATTAATACTAGTGTCTACTTTAAAAAAAAATCTCTGTATTATATACATATAAATGACTATCTAGGATAAAATATGATTGCAAAGTTTTTAAAAAAAATTATAGTTACTCAAATAAATGATTAAAAAAAGTTTTATGAATTACTTTGCTCCTTTTTTCTGAAACTGATAGCATAAAATGAATACTGGGTTTCCCCCCTTATAAAATCAACTCCAAACTGTATTCCTAATATTAGCTACCACAGGTTAAACTCACATCAGATGTGTGCATAAGTAGTCGTATAACATGGTCCGCAGACACAGGAACAGCGAGATTCCCATCTGTGAGCAGGATTCCTTCCTTTAGCTCCCCATCTTCAGCCAACTGGTTCTCAGCATTGGAATCACCATTTTCATCAAGATTGTCCTGAAAGTTAATTTCACATTTAAAAGTAGTCATTTTAAAAACTTTTTCAAAGTACTTCATTCAAATATTTGTATTACATACAAACTAATAATTACTTTTATCTGAATATGTTAGATGTATTACTATTATTACTTAAAAATACAAAAAGTGTTGCCTTTTATTCTCTGGTGTATGCAAAATGGTAGTTTTAGTTTTCTTTCAGTGCGTTGACAGCAAAAAAGATAATCTACTACAAATATGAATCTAATTCAATGCCAATATTATATAACTAAGAAAAACCTTGTAAATCTAAAAACACAAGTAGCTTAATTACCTCCTGTGCATTATCTTCCTCTAATGTCTCTGAATGTACCATATCCTCATACTCTGATTTAGAGCCTAACCCATCAACATCATGTTGCATGTCCTCAGAGTCATGTCCCCCTGACACGCCCAAACCAATAGGGTCGTCATCATCTGCGGTCATGGATGTAGATACAATATTTACATGATCCTCGTCTTCATCATCTCCATCTGAGTTCAAATTTGTTTCTTCCATACCTCCCTACAAAATAAGGAGAATAAGACATATATATATATATATATATATATATATATATATATATATATATATATATATATATATATATATATGCAAATGTAACAAAACCAGCAAACTCTTCTTTTCTCTGTAACTTAAGATTTCATCATGTCTAAACAACTTTGTTCTATTCAGCTAAGCTATCATGTTTCTTCTTCTCCTTCGTTCTTAATTCAAGTTACTGTAAATGCATATACAAAATCCCCATTCAAACACCTGCCTCCTTTATGTATGATGCTAATTACATACCCCCGTATGATCTCCAAGCCCAGTAAAGTCTTCATCATGGTCATGGACGTTTGAAGACAGAGGTGAGAGAGAACTAGACTCCCCCAAACTGTCCAGAACATTGTCCATAGATTGTTGCGCACAATTTGAAATTGTTTCTCTGTCAATAACAATCATTTCATTTCTTAGCACAAAATAAACAATTGGGTAAAATACCTAAGTTCTTTCCTTGTTTAAAGCATATCAATTTTTAAGATTCTCACAGATGGATGCTGCATTCAAAATATGGACTAAATATATTTTTAACAAAAATAAAAAAAAAGATGGAGTATGCTGCATAATACAATCATGACTAGGGTCATTGACTAGCTCTGGAATTTTTAGAATCCCCCCCCCCCTATCCAATAGCTGTATATAATACCATGTTTGGCACTTAGAGTCTATAAATTTTCTAGAAGGCCACACAGTAATAAATGTGTGTTTTTTTTTCTTCTAGTGATGTATGCATGCTTGTGTTGGAATTAGGCTTTATTAGGCAAGACTGTAAAAACAGCAAAATTAATAACCTTAAACAGCCAAAATTAAGGAAAACATGTTAGTTTTTTTTATCAGTTGAAACTATTGAATTGTTAGGGGATGGTAACATCCATAAGCTGCAACTAGCAAACAAAATAATGTCTAGATCTAGATTAGATAACTATAGTATTAGTATAGTATTAGGCCTATAGTTTATAATACTATTAATATTAACTATTAATAAAGTATTAATACTACTGTGGTAGCTTATTTAGTATTATTTACACTTAAACTAGATCAACAGTAGACCTATACTAAGTAACTAAAGTATACTTATATAATATATATAGCCACTATATGCCCTATTTAATAATTAGGCCTAATATTATAGTAATAAAGTAGTTTTAACTTGACTTAGATCTGATTATGTGTTCTGGTAAACCCTTATTTATTTTTTTTTTAAATTGTGTAGCCTATTATTTTTGTTACTGACTTGAGTGCAGATAGGTCATTTAAAATGTATTTCCTTTCACTTTGCCTACAGTTATAGATCTAGATCTAGATCTCTAGAATCTAGAAATGAATAGATCTAGAAATCTAGATCTACTCGAATCTGATTTTGAAAGGACCTAGCCCTAGTTGTTGTATGCATTATCATATTATGTAGATCTATCAGTTTCGTTTCCGAGACTTGAAAAGAATTGTGTGATCTTCAAACCATATTGAAAAAAAAAAAGAGTAAAATGTTAGAATCTAATAGACTGCAGAGGAGGCTATGGACAGGGGAACTAGAGAGTTGTCTTTCCAATGCGCATTTGACACACTTGGCCATTCATTCCATCGTAAGTTTCCTCCATTTTGTTTCATGCTGATACTGATAGTAAACCTATAACCAATCGTATAGACAAAACCGTCGATAATGGATTTAATTCATTGTTTTCTATTTATATTCGAACGCATTTCGATCAAACGCAACCGAAAGACTTTTCGGGGCTCCCAGACGACCCAGGAACTGAGGCCGAAAACAGTGAACACTGGGAAAACTTACCCAAAAATCCCTGTTCTGTACCGCCATGCACTGCTCAGTCTTCAAGATGGCGACACCGAATTTTTTAATTACCGTAAACTCTCCAATAAACTGTAAACAAATAAAGAAGAAAAAAGTCAAATATTAATAATAGCGTACGCTAATCTTAAAATAAAATAAATCAGGGCAAGATTTTGTAAATTACTTTACATATAATACATACACATTATGTATTACATATATAGATAATTTATTTACCAATATACTCCTAGGCCTAAGTTAGCCCTTTAACAAAAAAACAAAACAAAAAACAATAGGGCAAAGGCTGTAAATACTAGATCTAGATCTAGTACTAAAGTTGGTAATAGATCTAGTCTAGTAGACAATAGGCGAAAGGCCTCCCGAATATAAATACATTTTATACAAAGATAATGAAATCACCTAGAGAAGTATTGCAAGAATAAATTACGGATTCTTTACACGTGCAGGGGCGGAACTACAGTGCCGCCAGACCCCGCAATGCAGGGGGGGGGGCACGCCATTTAGGGGCCCACAGTCGACCAAAATAATTTTTTTATATTTAAAAAAAAATAATTTCCTTGCTTTTTTTGACTTGATGGTTGTTTTGTAAAAAGATTACCGTAGCTTCTATAGACACCATCCCACGCTCTTGTATATTTTTCCCTTTGTTTTTAAACCACTGTGAAAGCCACGTCCTCTTTCTCCTACAATCAAACTTATCAAAGCTATGCAGACGTTCAAACCACTTATTTCCCTTTTTTAAATAGTCAAATAAGGGTGCTCATAAGCTCCTTTTAATAGATTTGTACTAAACACATTAAAAAGCAATTACTTCTCTTAATTATTACTTTTTTGTAAAGTACTTACTTATGAATGACATTGTATAAAAAGGAAATGTATTTAAAATTAATAATATAAATTCGAAAAAAACATGAAAATAAACATAACACGAGACACCATAACTTACATACAAAGCTTTCAAGTTTTATATTCTTTTGAACGACTAGAGGTTAAGAGGTCTTATAGCAGAGATAAAATAAAACTGATTTTGACAAAACTCACTAATGCACTTACACTCATGGCATGATGTTGTAATTAGTTTTAAGTGAAAAAAAAACAACATTTTTTTCAAAACCCGAACAGGCCAGCAATGAATATCCTATGTTCGTATGTCGTGTTTGATACATATATATATATATATATATATATATATATATATATATATATATATATATATATATATATATATATATATATATATATATATATATATATATATATATATATGGGGGGGCCTAAAAAAATTTTTTGCGGGGTGGCCCTTTTTTTCTAGTTCCGCCACTGTACACGTGTAGTGTATATTGATCTTTTTTTCATTATAATTTACATGAAAGTAAAAAAAAAGCGAAAAAACAACAAACAAACAACAACTGAAATTCAGTTTAAAAATGAAATAGTGTGGTAACGTCAAAATTTTTGAATCACCTTTTCCTCTTCACTCATCGTGACAAACGTCCTGTTATGAACGACTATATAGTAATAGTTGTCGTCCGTAAATGACGTCACACTCGTAGGGGTCCATAATTTAGAGACGATTTGTGATGAGGTGTGTAAGGGGGGGGGGGGGGGGGGGGTCAGTGTGACTTAACACTTTTTGATTTTTTTAAAAAAAAGGCATGTTTGACACTGGCACCGGATTTTAGCCGTTATTCCGCATTTTCAAAAACTTTTGTTGTAAATGAATTTGATTAATTCACTCTATGTAAATTTTAAAATATTTTCTATATAAATTTCATTTCGTTCGAAGAGATGCCTGGAAGAAACTCTGGACGGCTGGGGTGTGACGTAATTGTTGGAATGGGAGGTTGGTCTGGCTTTTTGTGAATGACTGATTGGGGGAGGGGAGGTAAAAAATCGTTAAAAAGCGTGACGTCAAACTATATTGAATACACATTTTTATTTAGTAATATTTTAGACGCATATATTGTAAGTTTATTTTAATATACGATATTTAATGTCTGAATATTAATAATAATATTATGTTTAAAGTAAGGGGAAACGGCTGTTTATGTTAAAAGGGATCCTATCCTGATCATTCTATGAAATATTTTAACATTGGGTTGTCTTTCTTATTATGTCTCTGTTCAGTCATTAGGGTATGCGAGACTAAATATTAATTTTTCGCGCCAAGAAAAGGACCAATAGTCTATGATTTTGGGGTCAAGTTTGAGAGGTCAGTGTGTGTTCTCAAAACATGGAGGTCGAGAAAACAAACAAACTTACGCTTTACGAGATAAAGATTTAGATCTAGTCTAAATCAAAGTTTATTATTTTTATTAGACTCTATGCGAACATTTTAAATACAGTCCTGTTGGCTACAAATCTACATTGGCTGAAATTACATTTAAAGGTAAAGTTTAAAAAAAAAATTAAAAGTTAGGCCTAATTAAATTACTAATTAATAATTAAATTTATACCTAAATATATAATTTAATTAGGCCTAGTAATTAAAATTAGTTAAATTAGGCCTACTAAAATCTAAACTAAGTGCTAGTCTTTGAGTTTGTGTTTGTTTCATAAATTTTAAAAAATCTGATTTCACTGATATAGGGGGATGCTTAAGGGGGGGGGGGGAGGGTTGGGTTGTTCACGTCTGCATGTAGATTTTGTAGATTCTACACGACAATAACATTAAAATAGATACAGTAGAGAGGTAAGGTAAATCTGTGGGCTACAGCAGATGCAAAACATCATATTATTTAACCTAACTACATATAATTAATTTAAATGTTAAATGGCTTCACATGTGCTTAAATGTTTTAAATAGAATAACAATAGGGCTGTTATAATTTATTATACTGCATGAGGGTTTAGTTGATATGAAAAACTAATATTATATTATAGTACAGATATATAAAAATATATATATATATATATATATATATATATATATATATATATATATATATATATATAGACGGAGTAGCCAAGTGGTAGAGAGCAAGACTGCCAACCTGTAAGTCTCAGCTAGAATTGGGGTTCAAGTCAGTAGACCGTCATTGAGTCCAACCAGCTCTAATGGGTACCTAACTCACATTAGTGACAGTAAAGGTGGCTGGGCATATATATAGTGCTTACCACGCTATCCCTTCTTATGCAGAAATCACAGAAACAGGTGAACTCTACTTTTGTTTACTAAGGGATTGTCCATAATTGACTTTGTTGAAGTTAATGTGGCACAAAGTTTCATCTGCCTGAGGAACAGTTATATGCATTTGGTGATCTATGAAATGTAAGTGTTAAATGCTATATGGTTTTTGCGGTGGGTAACACATATAAAAGTTGATCTTGTATAATTAGTGCTCAATCCCACCTTTTAACTAATCACATTGTATGAAAGTGAAATTTGTTGGCCTCTAGATTTCAAAGGGAGTGAAACTCAGATGGTCAGCTTACACTTCATTTGGAGGACCCTAATTGTTGAACTGATAAAGTAACTCGGTCATAAAACATCAATCATTGTTGGCTAAACTGATGAGCGTCTTAACATTACTTGCATGGATTTATACCTATGTTTTTTGGACGGAATTTGCTATTTAACAATTTAATATGTGATAAAGTTTAATTGTGTGCATAGAAAGTAGAAACCGAATGAATATTTGGGTTGTAGTTAGTTCTAATATGTAAAAATTATACCATCTAAATTAGACGAAATGGGTTTGAATGGTGCACTTATTGGCGCTGCTTGTTTAACAGTCCAGTTCCCATTTCAGACCTACAATTCATAGTGTAGATGAAGTAGAGTTTTTTTCTTGGCCTCAGCATATGAAGAGATGGAGTAGTCAGCAATATGCCCATCTGCCTTTACTTTCTCTAACATGAATCAGGTACCCATTAGAGCTGGGTGGACTCAGGGACGTCCTGCATCCTTAAGTCCAGGCTAAAATCCAAACGCGAGACATTCTGGTTAGCAGTTGAAGGCTCTACCACCCTACCATGCCATCCCATAGTATAGCATGAACTAACCTTTATATTGCCTGCAAGCTTTGTAGAAGCTAGCACCAAATCTTCTCTGTGAAAAAGCTCAGCCAATACCTTTTCAAGAGTTAACCTAGCCTTCTTTTCTCTCTTAGCCCTATCTAAAGATTTTAAACTAAATGGCCTGCCACAGCTGGGGGGAATTAATGTATGACAGAATGATTCACAGTGTCAAAGTTAGATATATGTTAACAAAAAAAAATATTTGTTTCAAAATGAGATTTATCTAAGTAAATCTGACAAGCTTATTATTAAAACTTGTGTACTGGATCTAATAAAGCATGTTAAAGCTATGTTTTTGATGTTTTTTTTTTGTATATGGCTAAGCTGTTAGGTAAAACAACTAGAACAAATATGAATACAAGAAGGGAATAAAATGCATTTAATTGTCTTTGTCTACTGGGCTTTCTGTTTTCTGTGTTCAGCTTCAAAGTGGAGTGGTAAAGTAGTTTTTGGGGTTTTAAAAATTGTGCAATATTTACTGTTTTAGTACATTTTCTCTAGCTGTTTTCATATGTTTGTGTAAATACATTTTTGATAACCAAGCAATATTCAGGCCACTTTATTTTAGTAACGGTATATTTATCATAATTTATGCAAAATGGTGTGATGTGGCCACGCGCTAGCGCTCGACTGCTAAACTGGAAGTGTTTGAGTTCATATCTTGGGGCTCTAGGGCGTCGTTGAGTTTGCCCAGCTCACGTATGGGAAAATAAAGGGGGCTGGACATATTACTGACCACACCATCTGCACCCTAGTCACAGAATCAAGATGAACTACTTCCTCTACCTTATTTAACACCCGGGCCGATAGGGTAACAGCTAACAGTCACTGTGTGTGTTTGCAAAAGGGGCTGGACATATTACTGACCACTCCATCTGAACCGTGGTCACAGAAACAGATGAACTCTACTTCCTCTACCTTATTAGACACCCGGGCCGATAGGGTAACA